CCAATTAAGCTATTTCACACGGGTTCCTCAAGCCTCTGGAATGTTTTATTCGGGTTCCGCTCCACCACAAAGGTTGAAACCAACTGATCTATACACAACAGACAGGTATATGCGATTATTGGTTATCAGGTACTCCTGAAGTATGCGTACCAAGATGTCGTATAACCTGAACCCTAACCTGGTACACAACCTGAGTGATGATGAAACATTAGATACCGACACGAAGACTAGCCAAATTCATTCGCACAAAGTTGGAAAATATTCAAAATGTAATATTTGCAATGACATAAATAATAAGGTGGATTTTACACAAATTAATTGTTTTTATTATCTGTGCGATCCGAAGTAAGTTCGGATTAAAATTTTTTTTTCAAATTAATAATACAGGCGTTATTAATGTGAATTAGTTTTGAAGCGTTCCCACAAATTTCAATAAAAAGAAGATGCAAATGTAACTTTAATACGTTTATTGATCACGCTCAAACTTTCATGGCTGCATAAATAACAATATGCTTTCTAGTATGTCATACTATACTTTCGAAGCACCTGAAATGCTGTTAATTAATATCAACGTATGCGAGAGCCCGTATGCGAGAGCCAGCGTTGTGCTGATTCCAATTAACAAACAATGTGAACATGCGAAAATGTTCTATTACAAATGAAATTGGTCAGGTTATAAAACACGTCTCTTAGCATAATTTTAATGTGATTATGTTATAACAATTAAATTTCAACTTTTACAATGTATTTAAATGATTCATAAAAACATATCGTGAGTTTTTGATGGTTGATGTCATGGAAAACGGCAACCTAAAGACCCAATCGATTGCAAAGTTGGAAGGTTCAAAATTTTGAAACATTCAAACAGAGATACGTTGCTGTTGTCTTTTCTGCGTAGCGCAAGCGTAGAAATTAAGCAATTTTTGCATGGTACTTAACTGAGTGAACATTTACAAACGGGAACCACGAGCGCGGAAACCAATTTAACAAAAAAGATGGACCTTGTCGTGCAAACAACATTTGTGATCGTCTTGTCGAGACGCCAAAGGCCATAAGAATAATTTCACTGCACAATAAACTGTGAAATCTGGTTGCTGAAATTCATTATATCGTGCTGTAGCGAACAAAATATCCAACAAGTGACGTGCAGATTTAAAAGGAAGGAAAATATTTGGGCCAGAAGATGATCTGTCAGAAGTATACGAATGCGTGTAAAATATCGCAGAATGTTAATATCAAAACTAGGGTTTTGTTTTATATCAATTCAGAAAAAATCGTGTTTTGAAACAAGGGCTTGTTTTAAATCAATTTTTTTCTAAATATTTTATTGAAATACCCCTTGCATCGCCGATGAACTACGCCAAAACGTTGCGTTCTGGCAGCTGCATTCGCTGCCGGAATTATAATTATAAAAATATAAGTAAAAAATATTGTTTTGACTTTTATTTCTATTGCTTTCATTTATCGTCACGGTGGTATCTACACCAAAGTCATAAAATTTTAACCGGAATGTTTATCCGAGATACCAAAGGGACGTTTTGAGTAAGAAAAATCATGAAACTTAGCTCACGAACACAAAATTAATTAGTTCAAGGGCAGCCTTCGGCAAAACGAGTGCGTTACGGTAATGAAGAATAAACTCACATCTGTGGCAATCTACTGATTTAAACGATGAGACGTGCTATGCTATTTGTAAGATTCCTCTGATGCAAAGACGCTGCAACTAATCTTTTATGACGCCATAATAAGAATTTCGATTTATGCATTGACATTTTTCTCATAAAATAAAGGCATTATTACAGTTAATACTTTCGGTTGAGTTATGCTTAGCATACTTTGTTCTTAAGGTTGACGAGAGTTTTCAAAGTTATACAAACTGATTTATTAGATCATTCCAATTTTCGCGAGGTGGTTTCGTCGCAGGGTCGTTCACGTAATGGCTTATCGGTTACGTCTTACTGTGCCAACCACGTTTGCGGTCGCACTAAACTACATCTTGAGAAGGTGTGTATGAGCCTTAATCGATATTCGTGGCGTTTCGAAAGATTTATTGCAAATAAGAAGCGCTTGACAAGTTTTTACATCCTTCAACCTATTTTACAAAAAAATCAAATAGGACAGGCATTTTGAACAATACAGGCAAAAAAAACTTGATTTAAAACAATTGTTATAAAACAATTCTTTTTGAACAAATCCCAACTCAAAACGGCTTGAAAACGAGAAAAGTTCCATGTCGATTGATGTAAAGTCTTTCGCAGGTAGCGATGAAAACTACGAGACCGTAGGTGACAACGTAAAAGAATATAAATTGAAATTTCCAACAGTGGAAAATCAGAGTCTTCTGTTGATATATCTAGAAAATGTTTATCCCAAGAACCTTGCAAGACCTGAAAGAATGCTGTAGGTTCAATAAAGGTCCAAATCCTTACTCTAAACTTTAGCTTCCCGAAATGAAATATCGACTATTACAGGCAAATCGCGCTTGAAAAAAAGACCGCCATTGACTTTGCGTTGACTGATGTTACAATTTCAAATAAATAAAACACCAGATCAATACGGGATCCCGAAAGCAATAATATACTGGATGAGCCTTCCCTCGAGCACAGCACAGAGCATTCTGCCGGCAACATGGAAGATCTTAGTGAAGTAACACTTTGATAACAAGTCGAGTAAAACGCGTAAAAGCAGCGTTATGAACTACAATATATATATAGAAAGTCAAAAACAAATATACCACTAGTTCAGCAAATGATATATTGAAGCGAAGTAGTGATATGCTCGAGATTGGAGATCATTTGAAGGACGTAGAATTTCAGAAGTTATGACAATAAAAACACGTTTAATAAAGTCAGTAAAAACAGATCAGAGTGACCAATTGGCCTTGTTAACTGTAATTGCCAATTGTATATTGACGAATATAGATTCAATTGTATAGAAGAAGAAAGAGAAACAAATCAAGAAAGTAGTCTCTCATCTACTGAAGATATTGCGGATCCAACATCGTTCGTAGGGTTTTTTTAAACGAACTTCACGTGACTTCCTCCTATTGGAGAATAGAATACCTGATGATAAAGTTCTTCAATTGGTTTAGAGAAAATAGTGACGTTATCAGAAGAAAGAGCGTGAAAGCTGAATTTGCAGAAGTTATCAATGAAATGAACAACAATTTTTTAGCTGTCGAATGCGAAATGGATTTTAACAGCAGGGTTTCAAAAGACGTCATTGCGAAGAAAGTTGCAATATTGCAAGGAAATCGGAAAGTTGAGGTGTTCAAACCTTAATCTCTAGACTTTTCATCTACTAGCGTGCACAAAAAGAACGACAGCACTGGAAAAATTCCGCTAGTGCGGTTGAGCAGAATTTGTCAGAGCGCCTAATAATTGAGCATACCTCGAGATACCCCCATTTAGACGTTTCAGTGAAATGTGTGTCCCACTTCATCCAATCGGAGAAGCGGGGATGAGAGTGGGTGTTTGTAAATTCCTGTCCTAACATACAAAATATGACTCTGAAACACAAGTTGAAGAACGCAGTTTGGCAGGTAAAGAAAGTGTGATGTCTCATGTTATCGACTACTCCATCTATAAAGCCTATCTGAAAGGCATGTACAATACATATTTTCTATCGATTTAGAATATTCATAAAGTATTTATTTGCAGTACAACAGTGGTCCTGTTGAATTTTCCTGCCCGATACCTCATAGGCTAATTGATAAAACTATTGAATTAGCTTATCAATGTTAAGCTCATGTACTTTATATTTATTTAATAGGAATAGCTCATTGTGTCAATAAATTCGATTTGGGAAAATAAATAGTTTTTGACAATTTAGGAACAACGTTTTTATCCATTTCGTCCCTTTTATCCATAATACTCTTTTAAAATAAGCGTAAAGATTTTTTCAGACAAGATCGGGGAAGTGCGGGATATTGCTCAAATGTATCGTTATATTTCTGTTATAATGATAATGATCAATATATTATTGTTACTTGGTGTAGTTGGTGGAACGGCATATATAGGTAACATAAATAACTTATTGAGGGGAACGTAATTTGCCGCTGACTGAGCACTTTTCTGGCGGAAACCATTGTTGTAGAAAACCATGCAGTGGCGCAATTTTTGCTCAAATCAGTTAATTTAATTTATAAGTAATACAACCGGCCCAAATGATTTGAAAAAAGAATTTAATACCAATGAAATAAAAGTAATATATTTCTTCAGGTTTTCATTGGCTTTGTGATTATTTCATTGTGTGATCGTCGAGACGCTAATTTAGATGTTGCTCATGGTGGATTTACAACATTTTACTGCGATAGTTTTCATTTTTAGGACTCGTAGTCCAACATTATTTATGACATCCAACACTAACTCGGAGAGAAAGCTGACAACCTGATATCACGTTGTATGTACAAAAATTATATTTGACGGAAAACATGCAAAAAACGTTCGACGAAAGTATATCGCCCAACAAACATCGATTGATAACCACTGTTTGAATTATTTTTCCAAATTTGAAAAAGAAAGATGTGATAGAAGTTACTATGACATATCAAATTGAAAAGAGGACATATATGAAAATGGAATTTACTGACAAAATACCAAGACCGATAAAACTGCATTTTACTTCTAGGGTCAAACTCTTGTTAAATGCTATACACTTATTTGAGGGTCAGCATATAATTGAAAGAATTGTTCATTGAACCATGGCCGTAATCTTGGGTTTTATCGTGCAAATGTTTTAGATGACGACCTAATGACGAAAGTAATTATAGAACAAAAATATACATTCAGGCAAACTAAAGAATGTTGAGTTAGAAAATACACATATAAAGCATACTTTTATCTATTTTGAATTGCAAAGAATTCTACATTTTGTCCCAAAAAATGAGATTTCATCCATTAATTGCAGAATACTTTCCACTTCACTTAATATTTATAATGAAATTACTTAAAAATATAAAATACTGTATTAGCTTGATGATTTGCAATTTGAAACGATAAAATAAAAATTAATGACAAAGAATTATAGTTATTCAACGTTTGACCTTTAGGCCCCAAATATTGAACAGTTCTTGATCAGGAAAATTTTGATACCAAAAATGTGTGACCGAATATTTCATGATTGAAGAATAAAATTGTCAATTTCACTTCCTATTCTTAGCCTATATAAGAAGGTCTTTCATATTATGAAATTTTTAATGAGTGCTGTTTCACCAAGATGCTTATACTTGTTCAGTTTCCATGTTGTTTTTCGTTTTTGCCAATTTTCTTTTCTGGGGTTTCGATTGCTGGTTTGTGTTCTGAAGCACAATGGTACGTCGAATAAAAAATTTAGGTAGAGTGAATATCTGTATTAAAAGCGTATTACGATACATCAAACTGCATCAAATGAAGCCTGTGATAGAGCTAAACATTGGGATAAGGTAATTTGGAAAAGGGCGAATAAATTGCAAAGTTTAACAATGAAGCAATGCTCAAATACATGCACAAGAAGCACGCCTGTGCGACTTTTATTGATGTTTTCCCGAAAAGTCAAATATAATGAAAAACAATTCAAAAGTTTAAAATCCTAATTGCAAATCACGCCCTACCGCCGCAACAAGTCACATCCGTACCGCATCAGAACACCAAATTTGCAGACAAAAGCAATTTTTCACAACTATAACAATTAACAATCATCCCACCAAAAACAACAACAAGACTAACAGCAGCAACGATGAGAATTTATCAAAAGATCCATAGGTCTACTTAATTTTAAATAATTCAGTATATTTGTAACTAGGAATAATATCATCTAATTTTGCACCAAATCAAGAGAGTAACATTCGAGTTGACGCTTTATCAGTATTCTGAATTTATATAAACTTTTTGTTTTTTTAGGTTGAGTTGTGCAATTTTTTACTGTAGGGAATTTTATGTTTTTTTTGCACTCGACTACACACAATGGCATTTTTTAAACAATTATAAAATAAAATTCCTTCAATTATCAATAAAACTTAATATACATAATATACTGCTATATTTTTTAGATTATAACTATGTAATGTATAGTTACAACGCGTAATTTCAAACACCTTCCACCGTTTGATACAAATTTACCCACTTACTTGCATGAACCTTTTTTCTGGTGAACAATGCCAAAAGATATTTGATTGCTTTAGACGGGACGTAATACAATATAGGATTTAACATGCTGTTGATTGGTATGATCATTAGCCCAACAGGAAGATAAGCGTCGTTTGGTATATTCATGCCTTCATAAATAAATAAATGATTGAAACATTCATGATATTCTAACAAATAGATAATTTGTAACATATATTATTTTTGTCATTGCTATTATCAAAGGAAATTTACAATACACCCGTTTTAAAAATATTTATAATATCTTTCATTTGAACTTCGATATAGTTACCAGCAACTTGTAGAAATCCCATGATACAAATTGGCATCCAACACAAGAAATCAGTTATGATAATCATGGTAACTTTTTTCTGCATGTTTTTTGCTCTTTCCTTCAACTGTTGGTTGGTCAATGCTCTATTTTGTTGCGTTGAATTTCTGTCGGTAATATTGAAATTACATTTGCACACATTTATTTTATGCGATGAATGAGTAACACACTTTGAAAACTCTGTAATCATATTGTTCTTACTTATATATCACAAAATATCCGATGGAAATCACAAAAAAGGCCAAGAAATTGATGATGAGAAAGATTAGTGAATAGCCCCATGCCATATCTTTCATTGGATTCGGAAATACTGTCGGAAGACATACGGTATGAGATGAGTAATATCCAAACTTTCGGTCAATATTGAATTTAGGATTTAGTCTTTTGAGCATAGTTTCCAATGCTGACCATGAGTCACTTGATCTGTTAAAAAATGAAATGTTAAACATAATATTTCTGAATGCTATATCAGTTAAAAAATGTCTTACGTTAATGTATCATTATTTTCAGTTTGTATTGTTGAAATCCATTGATTTATTTCTCTTATTTCCTTTTTGTTGATTATTGAAAAAAATGGGTTTTGACTCAACCTGAAATTGTAAATTATTTGTCATTGTTAGCAAACATTCGGACAACATCAGTCAATCGCTTAAGTTAACCCTCGGGAGACATTGATTTATATCTCAGTTAAAAACGATTCCGTGAAATAACGACTGAGTGAGTCTGGAAAACACTTTATCACATGGTGAATCATCATGGTGGCCAAATAGTGTACGCACAACTTTCATTAGAAACTGAGATTCCGACAAAAAATAGAAACATATCCCTTCAAAATGCCTACCCCTGAAAATATGATAACCAAATAATCCTATCAATAGGGTAACCAATACATATGACAGGAAATATTTTATATTTTTTCACACAATATTCAACAGAAAATTTACCCATACCATACATTATCCACAAAGTAGTCTTCAGTAACTGGCAACAACGGAATCGCGGCAAGAGCAACAGTAAGAGTCCATGACAATACGATAATATTGCGCATTGTTCTGAGGCTAACTTCAATAAATGGTCTAAAATATATATTTATATCAACGCACAGCAATAGTATAACAATTTTAATGTGTTAATTACCTCAGAAGAGTATATACTCTAAATCCTGTAATGATCGTCAAGGTAAAAACTGAAGACTCTGTCCCAATCATAAGCAAAGCTCCAATAGCAGAACAGGTAGTTCCACTTCTCCATTCTATATCTTTTTTGCAATACTCACCTTGCATTGTTAAACTCTTTACGCATATGGTCATTGTGTATACCTGAGTTAAATCATATGTTTTAAAAATGTTTAATATTCAATTAAAAATATTCAAGTTGATCTACCCCAACGAGAAAATCAGACGCTGATAGATTACAAATTAAGATTTTGTTGATTATAGCATTCTTTTCATATTTCTTCTTCTTCTGGTATAACTTGATTGTAGAAAATATCATCACAAACGCATTTCCTGCCAATGTGACGGTACCTAACAAAAAAGTAGTTTTATTATCTCTTTTGTCCAAATAAAAATTCATAGAAATATTTATTTATTTTCAATATTTTACAGGCATATATATCAACACTATATATATGACAAAGAATGTCGACGTATAGTTCGGAATCGATTTTAATTGACGGAGAGTACGATCGATCGACGAAGTAAATGTATTGATGCAAAACGTCATAGAAAGATATACAAAATTTCCAGCTCATATTTTCAGCTGTTTTGCACTTTAATTAACTACTTTTGAACGGATTCATGTACGTGCGGGACTGTGCTTCGTTGGAGTGAAATAACGCGGATTATTAGGTTTTAATGTAAGTAATTCTGTTGCCTATAAATTAACAAGCTTCATAATATACATATTTTAAGTAATTAGGAAATACCCTATTGTCGATTTCAACTTTCCCAGCTTCCACCCGTTTGGTTGGTAGGCTACAATTAGTTTTTTTTTTTTTTATATATACTAACTTGTCACCCATACAGTGGCAAGCACTAACGTATTCTTGATCATTGAATTAGCGTCTGAAAATGCGCTGACAATGCATTCAGGAAGACATTCGTCTCTCGCACTTTTGCAATCTTGACTCCCGTCACAGAGCTGTAAAAATGATATATATTGGTGAAGTAAAAGTATTTAAGTTGACACGTCACTATCAGTGTGTGAAGTTCAAAAAAGTTTGGGCATAGCGCCAAATGTATATCACTCTGTCGGAATCAAGTGATCCGACAGCAATATTCCTTATTTCGATAAATACCGACAAAGATTTGGAATACAAATTAATTATGAATGGCAATAGGCCTACTATTGAATATATTACAGAATAATCGCCCATGCATCACCCGCTTGCCCTTTCACTAAGTTTGGGTTTATTGTCCGCTAGGTCAAATCTTATACTGCAAATTGCAAATGAAAAAAGTATTTTTGAACAACTACTT